AACCTGCAGCATCTACCTCACTTCATCAAACTCCGCGGCTGCGCTGCAGTGAAAATCATTGCAAGTATGAGGACGACACTTCACCATTGGTATCTCCAAGAAACTCATTTTGGATCGGTTGAGCGAGTCATTTATCCAATGATGCAACAGAATGCAGCAATCGAAACCAGCGGTCATCGAGGAAGCACATACAAAAGCAGACTCCAGGCGCTCAATGTCAGTCTGCTGTGTGCCTTAAGCATAAGCAGACCTGAACTTGTGAAGGCATGCACTCAGAGCGTACCGTCTAGCTTGGGTCGGCTGAACGTGGCGAGGGCAGCTTCTCTGGCACAGCAGGTCACAGACAACAGTAGCCCCAGGAGAGCTTTCACAAAAGATTTTGAAAAGTTTGTCCTGCTGATGGCCGACATATTGGACCACTGCCCCCTTCCCCCCCTCCCTGTAAATCCCCGATCGCAGCATATCTATGTTCTGTTAAGCATCAAACGTAAGGCTATCATAGCACTGCAATTCCATGGGGGCTTTCGTTTGTCGACAGGAGCCCAAAGTAGGCTAAGGCATTCCAGGGAAGGGGGCTGCCCCCATGACCGGTCCTCCGCTGCTTCGTCAATCAAGTTGGCTTGCCTTGCTGATTCGACCTGCGCATGTAGAACTACGACGGACTGTGCAGCTCCAGCTATGACACACCACGCGCCGAAAAAAAGTACATGGTGGGCGATCCTCATGCTCTGGTGGCTTCCCTTTGGCCACGTCATCCGCAGCAGCTACCAGCTCTCGTGCCCCCGGCTTGCAACGTATAGCATCATAGAATGAATCAAGGGCAAACGTGGCGAATGAAGAGATGATTTCTTACCGATTCCCTTGCGCGGGCTGATGACGGGCCCTGCCTCTTGCACTAAATACGTGGCGAGTGGCTTCTGGCTATCACCGTCAATTGACTCAAAACCCGCCGGAGCCGCGCGCGTTTGAGCCGCCAAGGTCGCGTAAGGGTCCAGGGTTAATGACAAGTGGCATGTTCTTCTTGTCGAGATGGCCCCATTGCATATTGAATATGTGAAAGCGACTGTTCTATAGGGCGACTCCGTCCACTTGAGCAGCGCTCCTGGAAGAAGGCGCTGAGAAGCTTTTGTCAGCGCAGCGACGCGGTCCGATTGCCAGGCGGTCTCGGAATGCTAGGAGCGAAGCAGCTCAAAAGCCTCATGGCGCGGCTTCCGGCACGGCTTCTTTCAGGCGGGCGAGCTGATCCCTCTGTGACTTCACCAGCTCCTCGGCCTGTGGATTGGAGAGGTGCAAGGCCTCCCTGCAGTGCGAGGCCGCACGGAGGAAGAAGAAGCAGCGCAGCAGCTGCAGCGTCTCCAAGGATACGGCCGTCGTCGTGAGGGCAGAATGCAGCAAGCTTGCCCAGGCAGTGCTGTCAACGCTCCTCTGAGCTAAAGCGGCTTGCAAGAAGGAGTGGGCCGCCAGGGACTTGAGGATGCTTTCCTTGTTCTCCTGGAAGCACTGCTCCGCCAGATTCTCCAGTACGCATGGATCCACCTTTTTGGAGTCAGAGTCTGAAAGGAGCCCCCGAAAAAGCAGCTTTTTGAGATAAGCAAAGCAGCACAGCAGCAGCCCTGGGCCTGGAGCTCGGGGATGTGGTGCTCCTGAAGCTCGGTGCAGATGCGAGGTAGGGCCTGGAGACGTTGTGTCGAGAAGCTCTGTCCCTGGAGCTGCTGCAGCAGCGTCTCCAGAACCTCCAGGACCATCCTCTTGAGCTTCGGCAGGCTTGGGCTGTGGACCTTCGCCGGCAGCTCCACCTCTGAGACGGAGAGCTTCTTCTTCAGCACCGTGGTGCTCATGAAGATGTCGATGCCGTACTTCTCGACGGAAGGGGGCCACGGCTGCGCCAGGAAGGCCTCGGCGGCCCTCCGACTGAACAGGAAGTCGCCTCCGATGGCCTGGCGCAGGTCTTTCCCGAAGACGCAGCAGACCGTGGGGTAGATCAAGAGGTTCGTGATGAAGCCATCCAGGCGGTGCCGGGCGTAGCGAGGCGCGGCGAAGTCATAGGCCAAGGCTTCACTGAAGCTCTTGATCCAGTCTGGCGTGATGCTCGTCACATCCGTGTCCAAGGTAAGCCCATGCGTGGCATCCACCTGAAGCATGTACTCGAACACCAGCCGAAGCGCTGCACCCTTGCCCTGCGCTGGCAGGGCAGTCCTCAGCACAACTTTCTGGCAATGCGTCGGGGTCCTTTCGAAGATGTCGGACGTGCCGTCAGAGCTTTGGCAGTCTGCATTGACCAGTATGCAACGGTGGTTTGGGAAGTATCGATGGCAGCCTGCATCAACCGCCTTGGTCACGGCCTCGATGTTGTGAGCTTCGTTTAAGCTCGGTAGGCCGATGACAATGACTGGAGCCTCCGACACATGCTGGATCCCGAATTCGAATATGGCGAGGAACAACCCGCAGCAAAGTAGCTGCCCAGTGGCAAACAGATCTTGCCCTTCGGACGGGGCACCGGTGGAGATGTGCTTTCTCGAGAGCCAGGGTGCCACTGTGCGAGCGCAGTTGTTCAGGACAATGGCCAAGAACGATGCTTGGTTGGCTGAAAGCACGGTGCTGTCTTTGGCGAACTGCAACATCAAGCCCCTGGTCAACCCCTCTCCCAAGTACAAGGCAGGGAACATGATGGCATCAGCGAGAACAAGAGCGACCCCATGTGGCATCACTGCGGCCATGCGGGAGAATAGAAGCAGCGTGCCAGCCATAGCAATCAAGGCCAGGACTCGTATCCATGAAACTGTGCTGAACAAACTCTTGTTGCGGAGGTATGCCGATCGGAGAGGTATGCTTGCCAAGAAAGCTCCGCTCACCAAGAAGCCAATGGAATGCCGATTCCATTCGTAGGACTCTTCCAGCAGCATGGCGGTACCGACTTCAGCGCCAGCCACGGCATAGCCCCGGAGGCTGCAAAGGAGGAAGCAGGAGCTCAGGAAGAGCAGCTGGATTCTTCCTGAGTGCTTCTGAGGGCATGAAGACACTCCTGTCGCACCGTCAGAAGACCACTCTTCCACAGAACTGGGACACAGCTGCCAGAGAGTGAGCAGGGACAAGACCTGAAGGCTGGCAAGGGCAGCTGGAGCTGCGCACAGTTTGTAAAGATGCGAGACCCCGAGAACACCATGGGCAAAAATCATAAGCCCTGCGATGAAGGGCCCCATTCCCAAGCCAAGGGTTTGCCAAAACTGCAAGCTCTGCATCTCTTCAGGTATCTCATGTGGCGGAGTCGCCTTCGTGATGGTTACCCCCGCCAGTTGTCCCGTCACACCACTCCCAAAGCCCCAAGCAAATCGTACCATCGCGAGGCAATAGATCCATGATGGGCCCGTCTGCTCCTTCACTGCCAGAACCATGAGCAGGGTGTACAGCAAAACTCCACAAGTGTCCATGAGCTGGCAGCCAAGCACGATGCTGCGAAAGCTCTTCCATGCGTTGGGCCTTGCCTGCAGGATCAACGTCATGCAAGACGCGCCCACAGCCCCGCCTGTGATGAACAAGCCGACCAAAAGGCCGGAAAATGCAGGTGATGTCTCAAAGAACTTGCCGATTTGGTATGAATCAACTATGGTTCCTGCAAATGACAGTTGCTGCAAGAACTGCACGAGGAACAGGGTGTGATGGGCACCCTTTGGATTCTTGGCGCTCCAGTCCTTGCAGTCAGTCTTGCACGGCGTCTGGCATGAATCGTAGCTTCTTGCACTTGGTGTGCGGTTGAGCAACTCTTGCGAGTGCCCATCCGACAAAGGCCCTCTGCGCACTCTCCAAAATTCACTGGATAATAGCTGCATTGCACGGCGTGAATTGCTGAGAGCCACAAATACAAGACCGAGCGCTCAACATGAAGGGCCAGGCACTGAGCTCGCAACACGACGATGCCTGTAACAAGCCGTACGACGGCGAACCGCATCGCACAAACTCATAACATAAACTTGCCGATGCTGGCAACAAATCTTACCCTCTCTGATGCGCGAACTCGCAACAAACACACGCCGACCGGTAACAAACACTATCCCTTGTGATGTGTGGTGTCCCAATATACAGACGCCGATGCCTGCAACAAATCGTACTCGTACTCCCTGTGATGTGTGCTCTCGCAACATACACACGCCGATGCCGGTAACAAATCGTACACGATGTGATGTGTAGTCTTACATACACGCGCCGATGCCCAAAACAAATCGTGCCTCTGTGTGATGTGTGAGCTCGCAACACACACACACATACACAGAGACACACACACACACAGAGATTTGTGCACGTAACTCTCACAGTAACAACTCATACCCTCTGTGATGTGTGGTCTCGCAACATACAGACGCCTGTGCAAGTGACAGATCGTATACTGTCGTAGACCCTGTGATAATATGCAACATATTATCATACGCTGACGCACGGAACAAGTCGTACCCCAGTCCTGTGATGTGCGAACTCGCAACATGCATGCACAAACTGACGCCTGTAACACCTCACACCCCTGCAATGTGAGAACTCACAACATGAACATGCCGATGCCTATCGCTCGTCGCAATGAGACAATCTTCGCAATTAGGAGATGTCTTGAAAGCCTTTTTTTCTCTGAGGCCAACAGGACCGAAGCGGGTGGCGAGACTCTCCTAAGAAGAGCCTGGCACTGGCACCGTGCGGCAGAAGTCTTCGACTTCTGCCGCCGAGTCGCTCAAAGGCCTGCGGCCGAGCATTAGAACAAGACGAAGGAGAGGGAGTTCACCTGACGCCAAAGGAATGGAGCTGGGCTGTGCCCAAATGGCCGCTGCTGCACCGTCCTCCGCCCGCCTTGGCACGGTGGCCCTCGAGCAGCCGCAGGTGTCGTCCCGTCTTCACGTCCCAGGTCCGCAACGTCGAATCCCTGATCGAATCCAGCGAAATCTATCTGCATCTATGTGTGTGTGTGTATCTATTTGCTCTTTTTCCATCGTCTACATAGTACATCTATACATGAATGAGCTGAATGTAACGTATGTACGGTTGTATAGCAGGTCGCTTCTCGCGACTTCTAGGCGGGCAGGTGCGGGAGGGGAGCCTCGAACAGGTGGCCACGAAGCTGCCGTCTGCGGAGAAAGCGGCAAAGAGGACGGAGCCCGAGTGGCCCTGGGAAATTCCGAGGGCCGCTCAGAGCGTAGCAAGACTGAGCCAGGGCACAGCCAGCGTGCGCAGGCAGTCACCCGTCTGGGTCTCCCAGATCTTCGCGAGGCCTTGGAAAGCCGTGGACGTCACAAGGACGTAAGTGATCTTCCACTTCTCTCTCTCTCTCTTTCGAGCTCGGTCGCTGGCGATCTAGAGAAGCCGTCACCACCAAGCGGCCGTCGCCAGAGAAGAAGGCGGACTGCGAGGCGCTGCAAATATGGCCGGGCTCTGGGGCCGGGCCCCCCAGGCCTGCACGGTGTCCGTGTGCCCCTGGAACTCGCGGATGCAGGAGCCCGCAGCAGCCTGGCTGAGGCCCCAAGAAGGGCAGAGCAGAAGCGCACGGCCGCTCCCCGCGCTGCGCTGCGCCCCCCGCGCCTCCCAGAGCCGCGCGGAGCGGTCTTGCGAGGCGGTGAGAAGTCTCAGGCCATCCGGCGACCAGCTCACCTCGGAGAGAGCAGGAAGCTGAGACAGAGCAGAAAGCCAGAGCCCTACCGCCCACCCGCCCTGAGATCGCACTAAGTACTGCGGCGCACATCACGTTGTCCTCGTGGCCCTCAAGCACCGTCTGCACCTGCCCACGTCTACACAACGCTGTCTCGCTGTGGGGCTCTGTGGTGGGCCTGCCCTTCGCTCCAGACCGTGGCGTTGTTGTCGGCACCTTCTTCAAAGGGCGAGAAGAAACTTTTACCGGGACACAGTGACTGAGATCACCGCTGGCAGTGGCAACTTCCTCCTCTTCCGGAGCAAAGGCCGCCCAGAAGATCGGGCCTCGAGTCATCTCCCGGCTCTCGAGACAGGAGCGAAATGCTGTCGCCATAAGACTCGGGCTGCTACTGCTACGCAGTGACTAAACAGGAATAATTGCGTTGGGAGGGGGCCTGAGGGGCAGGAGGAACAGCTCAGAAGCACAAACAGACACACTGCCTAGTTTCGCATCTCTTCGGGATCGCACTGACGCCGCCGGGAAGGAGCTGCAGGCACCTTTCCAAGACGAGACTTTCAAGGATGAGACAGGGTCTCCTCATGCTCAAGCCGTGTGCCTGCCACTGGCCAGCTCCCATATCCTGTCAGTGCAGCATTGCGCCAGTGTTAGCATTGCGACAGAGGAGCCCAAAAACGCGGCAGCGCCTGGCGCTGCAGTCCAAGCTTGCGGTAACGGCCAAAGACTCAGAGAGATTGAAGCCGCAGCACGTAACCTCGAAAAGACGGACACTGAGTCGCTGATGACTGCCGCTGGCTCCATCGGGGCCAGCGCCCAGTCCTCGTGGCCTTGCAGTGTCGTGAGGCCTCGCAGTCCCCAAAAAAAAACGGGGAGAGCTTCTGAGCGCTGCGCTTCCTTGCCGAGAGGCAACGGCCCGTGGCCGTCTCCCAGACTTTCGCACTGCAGTCGGCGCCTTGAATGCAGAGACTTAAGTGATGGCGGTCATGGTGCAGCGACTTCTTGCATCTTCTTGCCTTTTCGCCCCTGGGGTTGGGGCGGGAGGGGGGGGGGGTTGCACCGTCGGCGTTGCTGATTGGGAGATTGTTTCGGGAGAGGAGACTGTCTTGAGCAAAGAAGCTGAGAGTGGGTTTGGAGTGAAACTTAACTGCGGTTGTCAGTTGTTGGCCAGGTCTGACCTTTGCGAAGGATGGACCACCAGAGCTCTTCCGCATCATTGCATCCTCGATGTCGGTCAACAGCTCTCCCGGCCTAGCCTAGATCCAAAGGCCTTGGCTTAGGATCCTCCCCTCAAACGAACCGGGACGCGTAGCAGAGGGCCACGGATTCGGCAGTTGAGACAGGGCTCGTCATAGGGGGCAGCGATGTTGGCGAAGGTCCAGGGCCAAAGTAGCACGAATCGATGCGATGGGCGATTTGTGCCTGGCTCCGTAACCCGTCAGAAGGGAAAAAGCACCACAGGGTTCCACATGGCTCCTGATCTCGAGAGGGAGAGAGTGCACGCCGGCTCGGGCTAAGGGAGGTCACGAAACGACACGCGAAAGTGCAGTTCGTCTCAAAAACTCCCGTCAAAGCTGTACCTCGAGGGCTTAACATTTCAATGAGTCCAAGAGCATTGGTGCTGATGGCAGCCATCGTGCCGGAACGTGTGGACATTTCAAAGTCTCGGCACAGGCTCCAAATCACAGGAACAAGCACCTCCGAAGCCTCTAGGGCTCTGTGCCGGGCCCTGCGAGAGTTCGTCTCAAAGGGGCCAAACTCGCCAACCTGCTGCGCCTCGGGCAAAGCCTAACCGAGAGCGAGAAAGCCACGACGCTCGAAGCCACGCGTAACCACAGGCCACGCGCATGCCCAAGCGCAAGGAGCGCAAGGAGCGCAAGCAGTGGTCAGTGGTCAGCGGCAGGCGGCAGTGGCCCCGAAGCTGCGTGCACTGCAACGGTTAAGCGACAGCTGCAGCAACTGACAAGCAGGGCCAAGGGCCAAAGTGTAACAGAGCCTTCACTCAGGATCGCAAACGCAAAGTTGGGGTATGCAGAGATCAGCAACAAACAAAGTGTCCGAAAAAAAGTCTGTGTACGTCTTCGTCCGACCGCGAGTCCGCCGGCGGCTCCGGGGCCCCGGGCTGGTGGTGCCGAGGAGCTTCCCGGAGGCCGAGAAGGCGACAGACAGGACGCTCTCCTGGTGGCCCCTGCGAGAGAGACACAGAGAGAGAGAGGATATGGGATATGGGATATGGGAATGGGAAAAGATGATTCTGACGGGAGATGAGTTGACGAGAGAGAGATCGAGGTGTGTGCGGGGTTGCGCGGCGGTTCTGCCTCAGAGACTCCAGGCACTTGCCGCTGAGGGCATCCCAGAAGAAGACCTCGGCGCTGGAGGGCTCTCTAAAACTCTCTGAGTTGCGGGCCGCTGCGGGCCCCAGGCCATGCCATCCGAGGAGGCCGAAGCAAGTCCCACCTTGCGCGGTCCCCACAAAACTCGGCTCTCTTTGAGTTGGACTGCCGGCAAGCATCACAGTGCCTCGGTGACGGGCGCCACCTGCACCACAGCGTGGTTCTCCAGCCCAGCCGCCTTGTGGCACAAAGACTCAACAAGTGGAGTCGCCTCTGAACCCGAGCCTATCCGAGCCTCGAGGCTGTGGTGCATCGCGGCCATCTGCCCCTCGAACCTCGGCGATGCCATCGCCATGCCGCGGAGAACGGCCCTTCCTGCCTTTTGTCACCTGGCCAACACCTTCCACAGCGTCAACGGCGCGAGTATCAAAGCTCTCCGGGCCACCGCGCTTCAGCGCCAAGTGCTGGATCTTGGCCGAGCTGCAGAGGGCGCCTTGTTGGAGGGAGGGGAGCCAAGGCCCCCTCGCACTCTGGCACGGTCCGCTCCAAGACCACGGCGCCGCAGAGAGAGCATGCTGTCGTCGCTGTACACGAAGACCTCCGAAGCTGCTCCCAACGGACATCCAAGGCGCTGTCTGAGGCTGTGAGGCCCTGACCTCAGCCATCGCAGAGCCGTCGTCATCCTGCGCGACGACGTGCAGGAGCTCCTGTTCCTGCCATTTTCAGTTCACTGCAAGAAGGACACTCCGATGTGAGCTCTGGCTCTGGTGCTCCTCCAGTGGCATCTGCGTAGCTGCGTAGCCACTTCACCGGGAACTACGCAATCCCGCGCAAAGGCAGGCGCAGCGGCGTAGCTCTGAATTAGACTGGCATCGCCTGTTGTCGCAGTTGGCAGAGGCTCAGGGCTATCGCAGAGTCAGGATGCTACATCTCCATAGTCATCTAGGGCAAGCCTGCGCTGCGAGTACAGATTGCGACGTGGCAAGCGAGTGCACGCGTTCACAATTGTCATATAGGAGGCATGCATTGACAGAATGGCTTCATGGATTCCATGACTCCACGGCAAGGGCGCGGCGGCTGGCGGCTCGGTCCCGTTGGCAGGGCTACATCTGCGCCGCAAGCAATCGTTGCGGCTTCAAACCCACCACGGTTGCCTTTTCCACGGGCAGCTCTCTGCGAAAAAACAATCTTAGCCACTCCACTGAGGGTTACTTGGCGTGATTCGTTGACAGCTGAAGTGGAAATCGTACTCGATCAGCACCAGAATTCGATTCTTCAGTGGAGCGGCTTGGATAGCATACGCGCTGTTGTGATACTTCGTGCTCTCTCTCTCTTGCTCTTCGACATCAAATCCGACTATCTGCCCTAACCTCTTACCCTTCGGACCTTCTTCGGACCACTTTGGGAGCTTGGGCTCGGAGAGGGGAGAGAGAGAGAGAGAGAGCTTCAAAGCCGGCACATCTCAAGGCCCGAGAAGCAAATCTCATGGCCGTGGCTTCCCACACAACTGTAGACACAGGCTTTCGGCTCATCGGTGCCACGAGTCAAGATCCTTGATATCCTCTGAATCATCTCACTTACAAATGCCAGCGCAGCACGTGGCTTCTTTCTTGATTCTCAAGAAGCTGCAAAGCATGTCTTTCGAAGTGACACCGAAGGCTTGGGGAGCTCTGGTGTCTTTGATGTCTTTTCCGTTCATCTTCCCATCTTTCAAGAACTCCTTGGAAAGCTTCCCTTGTGCCCATGTTAAGACCTTGTCGATGGTGGGGGTCTTCACGTTCAAGAGCTCTGCCACACCGCGGGAGAAGCACAAGCCAGTCGGGACGTCCTCACTGAGGTATCGGAATTGGAAGTCCGGAACGTAGCCGCCTCCAGACTCTTTCATGGGATGGCAGAGGCCTTCGTAAGCACTGTTGGTGCTCATAGCCTTCTGCAAAGTGGAGCCATCCGCGATGCTGGTGGAGTAGGATGCCATGTACCACTCCATGATCGTCTTCACTTCGCTGCAGTCGAAATTGGGGTCCAAGGTTTTCAGGGCCTTACAGATGGCTGTGATGTCTCCGGAGATCCCCTCTAAGACATCCGCGGTCTGCGTGTCCACACCGTGGTAGAACAAGGGCTTCTGGGGCAGGGGCTTCCCATCCCAGCTGTGCCACTTGCCGTAGGTGACCCCCGGGTGGATCACCTGCCCCGGGTTCCCCAAGGAAATGCTCATCACGTTCGGGCACTCCACGATCTTCGGCTCCACGCCCAACAGGCCCTGCAGCTTTAAGATGACATCGAGCTTGCTCTTCCCGAGGGGCGGCACCACCGCCGCGCTGATCGACTCCTTGACACTCTGCTGCTCTTCTGCTCTCTCTCTCCTTCCTGTTCTCTGAACGAGCGCCAAGGGCTTTCTGCGAAAGGGAGATTGGTTCAGACCTTTCGATGCTTGCCGTTGTCGTTGTCGTTGCTGTCCTACTTGCCGTTGCTCTTTCTGGCGGCGACGACATCTCTTAGAACGGCCACGCACGAAGAGGATCGCCAGCGTCTCATACACACCCCGTCACTTGTTTCCGAACCCGCGCTCGCGGAGGAACATGGATCTTTGCTCTTCTGGAAGTTCCTCTCCCTCTCGCTCTCTCGCTCTCATTCTGCGCGGGGCCTTGGTTCCCAAGACAGTGGCGGTCTTGCCCCAGTCGTTGAACCTGCAAGCCCAGGGCAAGGTCTCGAAGGCCGCCAGACCCAAGGTGTCCGCCTTCTCACCCATCACCTGCATGCAGAAAAAGGAAGAAACACCAAAAAGACCAGAGAGGGAGGACGGCGGGGGCCTTCTTGAAAAGGAAGTCGCAGCCGGAGCGCGCAGGCATCACCGCGAAGATGGTGCCCTTCTGAACGAAGGGCTCCAGGGCCCGGAAGTACTGCTCGTGGAAGGAAGAGGGCACTGTGAAGAGCACGACGTCACAATTCTTCACCGCAGAGGGATCTTTGGTGATCAAGTCAGGCATGGAGTTCACCGCCTTGTTGGTGCCCTGAAAGTTGCAGGTCATACCCTTGGCTTCCTTGACGGCCTTGTCCCACCGTTCTGCCTCATCGGCATAGAGCGAAATGGCAGTGACTTTGTAGCGCGATGCGAAAAGGCACGAGACGACCTGTGCGGCATTGCCGCCGCCGCAAACCAAGACGGACGCCATGGCGTTAGAAAGGAGTCCGAGTCCCCTTCGGCGAGGCACCCACTACCAGAAATGTCTGGGCCGTGCAATGCAAGCGAGCTTGTCAAACCTGGTGGCAGGCAGTCCTCGCCTTGAGCACTTTTCTTTTTCGGTCTTTTTCGGACTACGCGCGGTTCGCCATCGAGGCGACGAAGGCCTCCAAGGGAGCAAAAGGAAGGGAAAGTTGGCCCCCCGCCCCCCCCCACTCCGCGCCTTCTCGAAGCGACGGCACTCCGCGGTGCCCTGAGGGCCAGTCTCTGACGTGGTGGCCTCCCCAAAAAGGCGGAGGACCCCGCCCCCCGCCCCCCGCTTGGAGGAAGCGCGGAGCTTTCGCTTCGAGCCGAGCACTCGCGCTGCGACTGGCCTGCGCCGTTAGCTCCTGGAGCGCTTGGCCGAGCTCCCGCAGACGCTCGGCACCTGTGTGCGGTTCTGCACCCGCTTTCGCTATGCCGCAATCTTCGAACTTGCATCATACAATGCTCACACTACAGGGCACAACTCCTGAAACAGCGTGTTAAGACACCTATGTACTGTCTGCACCTCGTGTCCAAGACACATGCATGGACCTGGCCTTTCATGCGTCGCTTACACAGTGTCGCAGGGAGCCAGACACAGTGCTGTGCTTGTCGGTCTTTCTGTAGATTTCGACTTGACGTGTGTCACCGAGTCTGGATACTTCTTTCGATGCAGATGGTGGTGCAACGCTTCATCGCTTGTAGCTCCTTCTTCTCCCAACAGTACTGTCCGTCCCTACCGCCCATTCTTTCCCTTCACTTGCGTTGGCCTCAGCTTTCTTGAACAACCTATCTTCAAACGTCCTGCCAGAGTACTTCCTCTTTCCGCAGCAAATCGCTGTATGTCTGCATGATCCAGCCTTCTTCTTTTGCCACGTTTGCTGGTCTTACAGTACTTGCTGATTCTGTCCTCCCTCTCACAGTCGGTGGGTCTCCCGCTGAGGAAGCTCACTATGTTGCTTCTAGCCGTTGCTGGACCGTTCAGCTCAGCCTCGGATATTGGTCTGTCTCATTGCCAGCGACAACGAGAGCACATGTAGTATCAGTATCTGCTCGATGAGCTGTCAAGGTGCTTGTTCATGAGCCACATGCATGTTCAGCTACCTAGCAGGATCCCCTGGTCCACTCCTTTCTTCTAAGCTTTTGGAGGCTTTCTCATTTGCTGATTTTCTGGTGTGTTTCGTCCTGTGTGTAATATTTGTCCGTCTACTTCTGAGCGTCGTCAACTGGGCTCCGGGCGAAGGCCGCGCTCTTCCAAGGAGACGCTCCCGTCACTGACACGGCTTCCACAATGCACGCACCGCTCAGCGCTCCCGACTCGATTTGAAGCCGAAATGGGCGGCCTCAACACGCGCGCAATGACCTGCGGCCGACAACCCGCCTGCTACGCTTTGGAGCACTAAAGAAGAGAAACCAAGAACCGACCCTCCTTTTGCTGAGACAAATCTGATTGACCGTTGGGAATTAGAACATAGTTCTGCATTGGCCAGGTTCTGCCACACCCGAGGCCAGCCTTGTCAAGTGTTCCGGTGATGTCGTGGGACGACAAACTCCAGAATGTCCTCAGTGCGCGAAGCAGATACACGCCTTCGAATCAGAGGCAGTGCCTGATTACGGCCCGAGGAGCTCCATGAAGGTGGGCAACGCGCTGCTCAAGGACTCGGGCAGCTCCTCCCCGTCGGTGCTCGCGCTCGTGGTGCCGCCTTCTTTCTCATCCGCCTCCTTCACGATCCTCCCAAACCGTATCATAATGTAATAATGGCCTAAGAGCCTAAGAAGCGTAGAACCTTCGGCACCTTCGGAGCTTCACGAAGGAATGGGCCGCGAGCTTGGCGGTGCGCATCTGCTGCGATGCCTGCATCAACACTGCTGCTCCTCGGTCCTTACCTCTCAGGACTGCACTGCGCTGCAGTGAATTTTCCGCTTGATACCGATCAATTGGCATAGCACATCGCCCTGCTGACATCGGCTAATGCAGAAGGTTGCTCTGAAGCACGGCGCGACGTATGCGACGTGTTTGGTCCACTTGCTTTGGTTGAGCTGTGCTGCTCTTCTCGTATCTGTAGAAAAATGATCGCAGAGCTGCGGAGGCTTCGAGTGGCCCGAGGGCTCAGAGGAGTGGCTCAGCTTTCAAGAGAGCCCTGGCCCCTGGTCCTCGTCTTGCTGTGCAGGGTCGGTCGACTCTGACAGACACAATGCGAAGACCTGGTGCTCGCATCGCCCGCTCGCGCTCGCACGGGCAGGCACGCAAAGCGTCGTGACGGAAACACGATCGGATTTGAGACTGTTCGTGGGAGCTTACGGACGCCTGATGCCATTACACTTGCTGGTAGTGGCTGGAGGAACAGATCTGGGCATGCACCTACCGCCAGAAGCTGCGTTTGAATGGATTTCTCATCCTGTGTGCTGTCAAAGGGCTAAGGATCCGTCGGTTCTTTCAGGACGCGCAGCTACTCACGTTGAAGCAGGGTTGTGCCGGTTGTGCACACACAAGCAGCCACAAGCAGTTACGGGAACTGTCCCGAAATGTGTACATGGTGAATCCGCTGGCAAATTCCTATTGCTACAATTGGCCTTTGCAGGCGGTTGTGCGACACGCGTGGTCCGACCTGGACTGTGTTTGCGAACGGCCGTGGGCGCGGATAAATGCAAAATGCCAAACTGAACGCGAAAAGCCGAATAGCGACAAGTCAAAAAGTTGCAAAAACTAAAGATGTTGCGCCAAAAAAATAAAACCCGAAAAGTCAAAAAGTCTTGAAAAGTAAGCCGTTGCAGCGAAACGTCGAAAAGTACAGAAAAAAGCGAAAGGTCGAAAAGCCGCGAAAGGTCGATAAGTACAGCAAAATGCAAAACGTCGAAAAGTCAAGAAGTCAAAAAGTGGAAACGTGGAACACACAACACAGCAAAAGCCGAAAAAGTAACAAGTGGCAGACATCTGAAGCATCTTGGCACTGCCTCTGTCTGCAGAGAGCAACAGCAGATCCAGGATGGTGTTCAGGATTTCGGGTACTGCGGGAAGTGTTCTGGCCTTGGGGCCTATTAAGATTGAAACCTCGTCAAATCAAAACACCGGAAAGGATGTAGGGTGTCACTAAGTGTGCGAGGTGTCCATGGAACAGGGAACTCGATGTGGAAGGTTATAGAAAAACACGTATACATCTACAAATGCTACGTGTGTGTGTGTGTGTCTGTAAACAGAAGCAGAAGTATGGTTATATGTACATGCATATGTATAACATGTATCTGAATATATATATATGTATATGTATATGTATATGTATATGTATATGTATATGTATATGTATATGTATATGTATATGTGTGTATATATATATACATAGGTAAAGGTATGTGTGTGTATATATATATGTAGATATATGTAATTACATATATGTATAGTATATACACATGTACACCACTGGGACAATGTCTGGTGGCACCTCAGGCTGTAGCTTCGGAGGTGTTCGATTTTGCGGACGCAAGTTCCGTGCAGCAGGTTTTCGGAAACATGAAGAGACGAACACTGAACTTGGAAAACAGCTCTTGTGAATCCCTATGCTGTTTTGCTGTTTCGGGCGGTGAAAGACCCTAGATCGGCTGACCCGCCGAAAATTGTAACCACAACCCCAGAATCCCATCAATGCCGGTAGAAGTAGTTAGAAACACTTCAACCACAACCAGGGTTGAACTCGAGTAGTAGAACCAACAAACAAATAAAATCAATAATTTTGCGGCCTTAGCGATGTGAGAAATGCTTCGGGGCACAATCGAGCGAGGAGCTTTGAGGAATAGCATGAGGCTCGCATCGTTGAAGCCCTTTGAAGTGAAGAGCTTCCAAAATTCATTGACCGTACAGCTCTAGAAAAACAGGACAAACCAGTGTCTTTCAGTTCCCCTTTACAGATGCGAACAAACCCCACAAGCTCTTGTCAAAACCTAGCTACAAACTAAAAAACCTATAACGCCCGCCAATTGCTATATCCCTTCAGGCATCTGCAACACGAACCCCAGAAGGTCTCAAACAACTCAACACCTTAGGCCCTAAAGCCTGAACGAACAGCTGAACCCGAAAAGTCGAAAAAACACGAAGCGTCGAAAAAGTGCAAGCAAACCTGGAAAGTTGAAAACCCGAAATGTCCGAAAAGTACAAGAACAGCCGAAAAGTCGAAGAACCGAACAAACCCAAAGCATCCGACAAGTGCAAGACAACTCGACAAGTCGAACAGCCCTTAGCGACCGCGCGGGGCGATGTCGTTTCATCGAATCGCTGGCGCTCACTTCCTCTCATCCTCAAAGGGTGGCCACTTGGCGTCTTCTGTCGGGGCCTTCGGGAAACGATCCTGTAAAGCGGAGAGACCCGAGAGATAAGAAGAGAGGCGGCCGAGGATTCGCAGCGGCCTGGTGCCCGTGGCCAGAAGCTCGAGAGCTGAGCGCCGAGACCTCGCCAAGAAGAGGCTGCGCCCTTCCCGGAAGTCTGCCCTGGGCCGCCGGACACTCCAAGAGCCCAGGAGGGATCCCGAAGATGCGAGGTACCTCGGCAGTCGATCTCTGCAGCGGAGCCGAGTGCGAGCTGCGCCCGCTGAGAGTTTCCGGCACGTCGGCGCGGTTCGCGTAGACCCAACCGATCTCCGTCAAAAATCGTGCCAGGCTCGGGTCGCGCTGCAGGATTCCTGCAAGAAACCCAGGGCCAAGGGTCAAGAAGAGCCGGTCGGCGCCTGACGCTTCATCTTTTGCCTCACGGCGATTGGGCGAAGTTGACACCACTGCACTAGTGACCACTAGTGCACTGCAAGCAGCGGGCCTCCTGAAGTGCTTGAGGGCCATGCATGGCATCCAGCCTCGAAGCCACAGGTGCAGCGGGCGCAGCGCAAGACGGCTCTGGTCTGAGGCATCAACCGCGAGGCCAGGCTTATGGCCAGCTTCACTTCGCGTCGAGTCTGAGCGTTTCGCACACCGTCTCCGCCGGCCACTCGCCTCTCCGAAAAGAGGGGCCTGGGTCTGCTGCGAGACGCTCTGATCCTCTCCTGGCAGAGAGACACAAAAAGCAAAAGCGGTGACGAAGGCCGCGACGCTGCGCGAAGGCCACGCGGCCACGCGACGCTCACGCCTGAGCCGCTGAAGAGCTCCTGCCACGCGTCTCATCGCGTCTCTCGGAGCTCTGGGAGCTGCGCTTTTAGCGGCGCTGATGCTGAACTTATGCTTGCAGCTCTTGCAGTGTTTGTGGCAGAGGGGCGCCCTTAAGGGCGAGCTGAGCGCGCTGAGCGTGGGTCTCTCCGTGTCACTTGGTGTCACATCATTTCCGCATACCATGCACAGCTGAGGCGGTGAGGACACCAGCGAGATCACGCCAGAAGACGAGAACCTCCTCACGGGCACGTTGAGTTTCTGCTTGCATCTCCCGCGACAGCATCTCGAAAAAGAGCGGATTCTCCGAAATCTTCTGCTTCAAGGAAAAGAGGAGCTCGGGGATGGAGGCGAACTGTTGGACCCCAGGCATCTCGTAGATGCCTCCATAGTTCTCAGCCCAGTACAGCATGATCCAGAAATCCGTCGCCAGCGAATCCTCCAGAAAAGCGCTTTGCATTTGCAGCATTTGCAGCTCCAACGGCTCATATCACTGCCGAGGTGCGAGGGACGGATATGGCGTTGGATGCCTCAGACTCTCAAGAGATTTGAGAAGGGAGAGGGACTCGGCCTTAATAATTAGAGAAATTGAGAGTCCAGTTGCTTGTGGTTGGGTCGCAGTTGTCGGTGTAAATTTGGATGAGACTTGGCATAGCTCGTCATCTGCTTCGGCCAAAGCCTTGCCAGCCAGAGTGGATCCGGGACAAAGATGGGCAAATGCAGGGCCTCAGCAAGCTGAGCTCCGGCTACGGCGCTACGGCGCTGACCGCGACGCGCTGCTCGCAACTGTGGCCCCCGCGTAGAATTCTGAGAAGGTGGTGATGGCAATGTTCCAGGGAATCAGCACAGCAGCATGGAAGGTGGCCACTTCTGCGAAGGTCAAGCCGTGTACCACGTCGCGGTCCCCGGAGGGCAAAAACAACCGAGGCCCTCAGATGGCTCACCACGAGCAACATCGCTTTGCGAGAGCTGAAGCAGCTAAAGGCGAGAGGGCTTCGACTTCACTGCGTCCGAGAGTCCTGTCCGGGACAGCAGGCGACGACCTTCCCGGAAAAGTCCGCGGCAGGCGTGCGACATCATCAGCCGCGTCCTGGCCCAGCTCTTTCTGCCGGGGGCCGTCGACGACCCCTCTCACTGTCCCTCCGACTCCCCCTCTCTCTCTCTCTTTAGTCTTTTACTCTGCCTTAGCCTTGTAGCCTTTCGCCCGCGCACGGGGCCTGGCACAGAGCACCAGCAGCGAGACGCCGGAGCGGTTTGGGGCATAGCCGTTGTCTCCGACGTAGAGAGCCAAAGGCCGGACGCAAGGAAGCGTCTGGTTGGTGTGATACTGGATGCTGGCGGCAATGTAGGGCGACTGCGCCACCATTGCGGTGGGCGCCGAGTTGGGGCCCAGCCCCTGGCCGCCCTGGCCGCCCTGGCCGCCCTGGCCCTCAAGCTTGAGGTGCTTGAGCACGTCATTTTCTCGGAACGCATCGAATTGCCGCAAATAGACTTCTGCGGCGTAGTCGCTCATCGCCTCGTCCTGCAAGAAGATGAGCGCTGCGTAGTAGATCGTTGCAGCTTCAGATACTCGCCAAAGAAAGTAGGCGTCCCGGAGTTCCATGGCAAGAACCAGATCTGCTCTCGTTTTTTCGGATTCCCAAAACCTGTCATAAGCCGCCAAGACCTCCTCCTCATCCAAGGAGCTCTCGTAGACTTTCCAGCGGAGGCCGGCAGGGACCGGCTTCCTCGCTTCCCTGCGCGTGTCGGCTTCGCAGAGCGGCGCGAAAAAGCTGCAGTCTCGTTCGCTGATGCCGTACCTGCCGTCGGCAGACTTCAATGAGTCTCCCTTAAAAACCTTCAGAACCGAAGCTCAGGCGCACCACTTCAGCCGAAGTCGGTCCGCGTAGTCCTTCACAGCCGGGGGGGGGGCGGCCCAGCGGGGGCAAAAGCGGGGGCCAGAGGCGGAGGCCTGAAACTGCAGGAGCGCCGAGATGGGCTCGATGAGAACCGGATGGTAGCCATAGACCAGGACCTCCAGCGCCTGCGAAGCCTGTGCCTGCGGCACCTCCGAGAGTCTGTGAACTTATGGAAGGGCCGAAGGGAAGGGCAAAGCGCGAAGGGCACGAAGGGCGCGCCGGCCTCGGCCTCGGCCGCCCCCTGGCCCGCTCCCCGGCTTGCGTGCGGCGCGGGCCTGAGCCGTGCCCAGAGGGACCTCGGCCAAGGCGCAGCGAGGCGCAGCGAGGCGGCCTCCGCGCGCCCTCCACGCCCTCTCTCCCTCTCCCGCCGTCGCTGCAAAAGCGGCCGATCCAAGCTTTGGAGCGGATCGAGAGCCCAGGGCCCTTGTCCAGCCGCACCTCTCAAACACGCGGACCCAAACACAAGGAGGGAGAGACTCTCGCAGTCCAAGCGTCGTGGCCGAAGCGGTCTCCTTTGCCACTGCCGCTGTCGCGATCTCCCTCGTGCTCCCTTCAGAAAAAAAAACAGCTCGGTTTTTCAGTGCAAACACACACATCAATCGTCAATCTACTCTTCGCTTCAAGGCCTGCTTTGTCCTCATCTCTTCCAGGAGCTCTCCAGAGCGCAGGGGCCAGTGTGTGGACTCCAGGAAGTCCAGGCCAAGCTCCTCTGAGAGGGAGGGGGGGAGGGAGGGGGAGGGAAGGGGCTTTTTTTTTACCGCACTTTTTTGCTTCCGGTTTTGCTTCCGTCCGGGCCTTGCCCAGGAGGCGGAGGGCCAGGTCCCAGTCGGCCAAGGCGGCGTGCAGGGCACCTCCCGGGCGCCACATGCCATGGCCCCACAAGAGATTCCCACAGATTCCCCCTGCGATTCGCCCTGCGTCCTGAGGCATGGAGCACACGGCCGCGAACGTGGAGAGCAGCCACCACTCCTCGGGCAGTCAGCTTCCTGCTGTCAAGGACCCCCAAGAACCCTTTGCCGGTTCCCCGCTTTCTCCCTTTTTTTTTTGCAGCGCTTTCTTGCTTTGTTGTTCAGTCTCGTTTCGTGCTGCTCTCCGGTTGCAGTTCCAGAGTTCCCGTTCGGCCTGATCGGCTGCTCTCCTCGTGGGCCGTGGGCCGTCCTCTGCTTATAGCTGGGGAAACCTGACTCGGACGCAACGTTTCGGGCGCTGGATGACTCCGAGACTCCGTAGAGGCAGTCCTCCACGTTTTGTGGGGAGAGATGCGGCTCGGAAAGTGCCTGGACGAAGCGCCGCGCCGTGGCCTCCATGGCCTCCAGACCTGCTCCAAGTCCAAGCCCCCCTGCTCTCGCAACGGGGTGGGCCCCGCTCTCCGCTCTCTCCGCTCTCCGCCTGGGAAGTGCTCTGTGAGGAGACGGCTTCCAGTCGCCTCTGCAGCTGCCGGCTCCTCGGCCAGCTGGCGCCGGAAGCTGCTCCACTGCTCATGGCCCTCACCTCACCGCTGTGCATGGCGAGGCTTTTCGGCTTGGCTTTTCGTCTCTCTCCTCCGATTCTCCGAGGGGCAGTCCAGGAAGGCGTAGAGGCCGCGTGGCTCTGGCCTCGACCCCGAGCCCTCCGCGGCGAGACCGAGGCCGAGGTGCCAAAAAAGGGAGGCCCAGCCGGTCCAGCGCATCGGCTGCCGCCAAGCGCCGCTTGAAGCGACATGCGGCGACGGCTTGCCACTTGCGCTTCTGCCCATGGCGGCTTGGCTTGGGCCAGGAACCAAGAGCCTCAATGGGGGGTCTTCTCCGCCTACGGCCATCCCAAGGTCCCAAGCCGTCCTGACCCAGCACCTCTGTGATCCTGTCGCTTCGCTGTCGCTTCGTGCTGAAGCTCTCGCAAGAAGGCTGGGTCACGGGCCTGAGGCGACCGACATAGGGTGCCAAAGCATCGGCTCCCAGCAAGACGTCAAAGAACACCTCCAGAAAGACACGAGGCAACACCATCGGAGAAACACGTCCATGCTCCACAAGCTTGCGCCGTCCGGACCTTGGCGTCGATGAAGCCTTCCCCCTTGCCGTCTCTGCCATGCAGGTCGTAGTTTCGACGCCTCTGCTTGTCGGAAAGCACCTGATACCTTGGAGAGCAGCCACACTGAACCCAAACATAGAGCACGTGCCGCTCTGGGCGCCTTGCGCTTCGGAGATGCTCTGGAAGCGCTCCTTCAATTCAGGTCAAAGTCCCCTGTTGCCGGCTGAGCCGCGCTGGACCCGAAGCCCACGCCTTGGCATTCTCCTCTGACGTCTTGTCTGGATGACACTGCCTGCAGCGCAGAAGCAAGGGCCAGTGACGTCTTGGAAAAGCGGATAGGCAGCGCCCTGCAGTGCTGCCTCGATCTCTGGATGTAGGCCCGTCGGATTTCTTGCTGCAAGGCATCGGTCGCCACGCCAAGCTGAGAGAGCAACGTCGCGAAAGCATAGACGATGCAATGCTTGCAATGCTGGCAAATTCAGAAAGCTCTGACGGTGTGGACTCAGCAATGTCTTGTTTTTCAGCACCGTGCCTGGTCGTAGTAGAAGGTGTCTGCCTCATGCAGGTCCCAGCTCGGGATTGCTGCACCACTCCGATTCCGGGAGGCAGGCCACACGTGTGGGTCGCGTGCGATCGTTCCGTTCGGCTGTCTCGCTCGGCTCGGGCTCACCTGGAGGCCGTGGCGGGAGGCCAGCGGAGGCCAGGAGCCCCAAAAGTTTCTGGGCACCGAGCCATCCACGAGTACCTCTTCGGCCTCCTCCAGAAGTGAGTAAGCCTGCCACAAAAATCAGGTCTCACCACACTGTACGGTGCAAGAACAGAATTCTCTAAGATCCGTGACTACTAGTACAGTTACGCTGAGGGTGTGGTGGATGTACGATCCTCGTTACTGAAAGAAACAGCCTTGGGCTCTGTCCAGGTGCCGTTCTGAGCGTCCCAATGCCAGCCGCGCCCGGCCTGGGAGGAGCACCACAGCCAAGGCCAAGGCCAAGGGGTGCGGGAGCTGCGGGATCGCTCGACTTGTCTGACAGCTCAGCTAGCTTCCATGCAAATGGCTCGCGGCGTCGCCGCCACGCCTCGCCTCGGGCGATGTCCCACATGCGGTCTGCCGGTGACATGCGGGCGATTGTGGCCCTCACAGCGTTTGGAAGACACCAGTGCAAAGCCCGGTGATCGCGAAGAAAAGCCCCGCAAGCAGGCCTCGGCCCAGCGCAAGTGCCGCAAGTGCAGCCCGGCCTTTGAGGCCCGATAAGGCCCGAACCCAGGCCCACACCGCGAAAACAACCGACCACACCCTCCTCGCGGGCTCCCTGGAACACGGGACAGCGAGAGCAAACCAAGGGCTGTGGGAGCTGCAGCTTCTAAGCCTCAGAATCGACAGCGCTTGGAAGTGTGCGATTCTCGCGTATTGGCCGAAACAAGCCCTGTAACCACCATAAAGTGGAGTGCTGGCACACTCTCCCCAGAGAGAGGCGAAATGGTGCTGTTTTGGTACCGGAAGCCGAACAACAAAAACGACAAAAATGACAAACCTCAAGGGCGGCCTGAAAATACAAAATACATAAATAGCTAACTAATTGGCCTCCATGCCGGGCAGGTCGCGCCGGCAATTGTAATGTTTTTTTTTTGTGGCTGGTTGTGGGCTTGTCATTTTTGTAGGCGGTTATTTTTTTTGCGCTCTTTTGTCGCCGTTTTGACACCGGACGCTAAAAATGACAAGCATCCGGGGGCCCCGAAAAAACCATAATTAATTGATTGGCCTCGATCCCCGGCAGGTCCATGGTTGGTGAAATGTACCGACTGCACTAATCATGCCTGTTTCAACAGTCGGGCAGCGCTCGGTCCCCGAACGCATGCGCCCTGTGAGTACCAGGCTGAGCTTGGGCATAGCTTGCTAACTTTGCTTTAGCAAAAGGCGCGACCGCCAGTGCCGCCGACCTGCTGCATCGGACCCTCGTTTTTCCACCGGGCCGCGCGGGACCTCGCCCGGAGGCCTTTCGGAACACGCACGCGCTTCACAGCCATTCCGCACGGTATCGGCCCGTGGACGACAGGAGGCCGGCCGGCGAGCATCATGAGCATTCGAGGCGCCCGCAACGCAACCGGCCCTGCAGCGCGAGGTGATGTTTTGCCAATTGTTGAATGGCTTGCGGAAGCACGCAAAGGGCGCACATCATCAGCATCAGCGGGCTTCCGCGGGGTGCGTGGCCTTGCTCCAGGCTTCTACCCGCGCTGCCCCGTGGGCGCAGCCTTAGAATACTTTTATCGCAAGCCGCAGTATCGCAAACCAAGCCGCTTGTACCGCTGATTGTACTTGGCCACGTGCCGAACCGATCGAACCAGTCCGTACCGCAGACTATCACAAAACACCCCGCCACACCCCACCAGCCACACAAGCCGCCACCAGCCACACCACCCACACAGGCCCCCATCAGAAACAGCAGCCGCACCCCGCGCCCTACATTGCCTGACGAAACAGGCAACCAACGGTGCTTTAAAGTCACGCCCCACAAGGTAGTAGTGCGATGCAACTACATCGGAGTTTAGCTTCCGCAAGTCTTTGTTCTTGCGTGGCTCTGCAAGCAGCGCCGAGGCGAGCCGTAAAGTCAACCCCCAAAGCCCTAGATAAGAAACAACCAAATCTTCCTGAAATTCTTCCTGAAACGTAGGGATGTCAGCAGCTTTCCGATCAACTACCCTAACTTTAGCATCAGCCTCGCAAAGCCCGACTAGTACGGGCAACGAGGTTCCTATCGTCCAAATATGTAGCCACAGTGTGCTCATGACCGAGCTGGCGCTCCTCCTGCACAACTCTAGCAGTAAGACATATAAGCAAAGCCAGCAAAGACAACGGACTGATGGCATCTCCTTGCGGAATGGAGGTGCCTAACGAAGAAGGTTCCTGAAGGTACTCACCTTTGTAGCAAAGCCAGCGCATTTGCTGCCAGATGATAGAAGCCGAAGAAAGCATCTGGGGTGGACAACCCAAAAACTGAAGACATCTTAAAGCCAGGCTCGGATCGATGGTATCAACGCATTTGGCGTGTCAAGACTAAGCAACATGCCTCCGTTTTCAAACTCGCAACACTTTTTCCGACAAGACCACCGCAAGCCGACTCATGAACCCAAGATTAACCGAGCACGAGTGGAGGACCGCTTAGTCCATGCGGATGCGACAATGCGCCAAAGCGTGCATTGCACTGCAATGGGTCTCATATTTCTCGCAGCAAGGGCACCCTGATACTGTGCTCCGGGCTTCTGAAGATGAGCTTGTCGCACAGTCTGCAAAACTTCCCACACTTCGGTCGGCCAGCTACACACTTTGCTGCCTGACCAGTCGCCAAGGGCCAGCACTTGTGTGAAGCTGACGCTTAGCAGAAAGCTGTAGCTCTTCAGCAGTAAGATCGCTCCGCTCTGGTGCAGTCGGCGCGTGAGGCCCCTGTGGCTCCAGGCTTGAAAGGCACTCTCAACGTCAGGCCTTTCACGGTTCCAAAAGGGATAGCAAGCAAAGCCTCTTGATCAGTGCTTAGGTGGGTTCACCGTGTGCGCAGTGACCCTGCCCGCCGCGCAGCCGCCTCAACAAGGCGGCTCCGCCGCATTTCCTCTGCTCGGAGCTCACTCTCGACCCAAAAGCATTGCTGAGCAAAAGGATGGTCCCCGCAACATGCCCGCAACATGCTCGCGGCAACTTGCCCTTGAAGCTGCCTTTGACGCAAAGACCTCAGTGACCCTACCAAGGAGATTTCGCATTCAAGCCAAGCCTTGATCTGTGCTTCGGTGTGTTTGAAACTAAAGTGGCACGCCGTTGAACTTTTGCCCCGCCCTCGGCCCGCCCAAACGCCCAGGCCCCCGGATCCAAAGTTCAACGGCTGTTTTGGAGGAAATCGGTATGTTTGAAGCCAAAATAACGCGCCCTTGAACTTTTGCCCCCACCCCCACCCTCCGTCGGGCCCCGCCCCCGAGTCTGGCCCCCCGGCTCACCACCCTGGGAATTAAGAAATTTCCGGGGTCTGGGGAGAAAGGTGCCGTTTGTTATCAAATCGACGCCCCGTACCATGACACTACATTGCATACAGGCAAACGCATACGCATACACACGCACATCTACATACCTATAGACTAAAGTCTGAATGTACGTGATGGAAGTGGCATGGCACTGGCTAACGGTGCAACATGGGCCTGGCCTCAATCGGTTGAGCGATCAAGCCAGCAAGTCCCACCAGCACTCCACCGAGGACGCATTTGATGCCACTCCACAAGCCTCCCTGCAAGCGCTTCGCGAAGCGAAAAGAGGACATCGCAGGACTCTGAGAGTTTGGGGTGTTGGCCAAAACATCGCGAGGTGCTTGGACCGGGAAGAGCACAGGCAAGGCCTCCTCTGCCTTGACGCAACAAGTCTATGGCTTCGAGGGGTTTCGACTCTGTTCTCTCAGCTCGCCGCATCCCGCAAAACCTCTTCCGCCCGTGCCTGGAGCTCACTTGATACACGAGCTCCCTGCTGCCAGCTCCTTCTGGCCTGCCCAGAGCTCACATTGTGGATCGGCAGCGCGGCGGCCATGAGTGCTCTTCAGTGCTGAACGACCACGCACATGGCAGCATAGGTCTGGGTCCGGAGAGAGTTTAGATCGATGTGACGTCGTGGCGTGGCAGGCTCTGAGATGATCTGCGGCGCCGGACACTCCCTCTCTCTCGCCTAAAACGCGACACGCCACTCCGCAGACTCTGCACAGGCTCTGCCAGCGGCGCTGCCAGGGGCGCGCTTTTTTGTCTCAGCGAGGCACGGCCTCGGTCTCGAAAACTGCTTTGGCTGATAAAGAAACACACACAGATTTGGCACTCTTCAGTTCAAGACACTTCGCTTCTGCCGAGGCGACGTGTCCCAGGCAGGCTCGCGGTTACTCATTTGCTGCATTCTGATGAATTATATGTCTTATGATATGGATGCCCCCAGCTTTGGACGAAAGCCGGGTAGCAGAACGTGGCCTTCTCCAGGCTGAAACATGGAATCTCAAGCTCAGACGTCTTACGCTTTGCGTCGCTAAGCGCTGTCAGCAACTTAAAATTCTGACATCAGAAACCGGCAGATCCGTCGCACTTCTGACCAGACATGCCTCCGCAGACCGGACACAGATCTCCCCACTGGTATCTAAGCATTGCCAAAAGTAACATACATACATACATGAATGCATGCGTACATGCGCCCATACGTACATAATCATTTACGTAAATCGATACTATATCTACCTACCGCTATCTACCCATCTAATTAGCTATCTATCCATACCGGTCCAGAAACGTGTGCGCGCACAAGTAGATCCATGTGTGCGCACTGTGTAGGTCACGAACACGAAGCCCGTGTACGGATGTAGAGTTTAACCTGGTTGTTCAGAAATCACGATCTCGATCACACAGCATGTGATGCTTCTCATAATTTAAACAATTCGGCGAAATTCTCATGACCAGCCTTTGTTCGCTTGATCAATAACATAGTTGGCGACGTCCTCCCAGGTGTGTTGCGTTGAGAATTGCAGTTGCACGTGTGGGCAAAAAACGCGTTCTGGGTGCCGTTGGTGCCTCGATGTCTTCCGGGCCAAGACGCTCACCGAAGGCCGGCATTGCATTCTTGCCGTTCGTGACCTGCAAGTGGCATGACACGCTCTGTGACACAAGGGCGGCGGCGGCGGCCAAAGCCCACTTCGCCTGATACTTTATTCGCTCCACATCAAACATTCCGTACCTTGGAGAAGTTTGAAGGACGGGTTTGAACGTCAGTCATTTATTATATCCTCCGCAGATCAGCTCTGAGTACGCAGCGTTTCTAGAGCCTCCTTTTTCAGCTTCTTGTCAGGCTGCACGGCATTGTTGCCGCCTGCGTGACACGCTGCACCTGAGGAAGGCGCTCCCGTAGACACTTGCAGTCAGTGCGCGGTTTTCGCGGCATGGCTGCCCTGGGGCTGAGGCAATTTGCCAAGAAGATACCCTGGCCATTCCTTGTCGGTGGCACAGGGGGTGGGGGAAAGGGGGAAAAGGGGAGGGGCGCTGCGTCTCAGACAAAGATCTCAGCGCCGCACTCCAGGTCTGCAGCGCGAGCGGGGGCGCCAGCAAGGCCGGCGCCGAGCCCCAGCAGGAGGCTGAGAAGCAGCGGCCGAAGGGGAGACCAGATGTCTTCCGCCGCCGCCTCCGCGTCCGCCGCCTCCATCTCCGCACCTTTTCAATGCGCACATGGCACATCTCAAAAGGCCTTTTCTTGGTGTCGGCCGGCCTTGCCAAAAGCCTTCTGCGGGTCGGAGCTGACTTACCCGACCCCGGCCAGGCGCCACGGCAGAGTCCCAGTTAAGGTTTGTTGGCACCTCGAAGGCTGCGCTGCGACCGAAGAGCACCTGGGAGAGCAACCGTTGTGCTGAGCCCATACCTCAAGCACCCTTCGTTGCGACGCCAGAGCTCTAGCTTCATTACATGATCATTGCGTCTACTTGCGGGGAACATGCTTACTTGCGGCTACGACTCACGTTCCAATTGTCCATGAACTCCCTTCACTGACACGGCATCGCTTTCCGTCTGAGCCCTGGCGCCAGCAGAAGCAGAGACCTCTCAGCGTTGCTCAGACTTTGGCTTCAGGTCCCAAAGGGGGTTCCCGTGAGACGTCGTCTGAGGCGCCGACCGGGCCATCGCCATCGCCATCCGGCGACGCCCTCTCGGCTCGGGCTCGGGCCCACGGCTGCAGCAGAAACCTCCTCAGCAGCCCTCGCTTCGCAGTCTGCTTCGCTCCTGCTCTCCGCCTCCTTCACGCGCGTATCTGTCCATGGACTCTTGTCTGCTGCGCGATGACAACAAGTAGCGCAATGGAAGGAACAGTTTGGCTTCAGTCCATAGGTCTGAGACGCCATGGGACAAAGAGGCCCGGCGTTCAGTGAATCGACGCGAGACGCCGCTAGACGCTTCTGATCTCTGGGGTGGTTTGCGGTGGCTCTATAAGCTTTTGCTCATTCGTAAGGGCAGTGCATGTGCTTCTGAAGCTGTGTGGAACGTGGTGGCTGTGTTGTGCCGCGCACTCCACCTAAGACGAATCTGATCAAGGTGCCTAGGTGATGGCTAAGTCGCAACATCGATTTTGCCGACAGTGAATATTGTGGCATCATAATCATAGTCATAGTCATGGCTGCAGTCGCTGCAGGGCATAGATAGTAAGTATGCTAATTTGTGAGCTGGCAGTTGTTTTCTTGACTTTCATGGCTATTAAGACAATGATGTTTGGTATGATTCCATGCTTTCCATGACAGTTGCTGTTATAAGTCGGTGGGGCAGCCTTGACCATCGTGACTACCGTGATCGCGAGAAAAGAGTGTCGTCGTGCTGCCCTTTTCATGTTACTGATCATTACTTAATCCAAACATTTCGTGAATCTCATGCCTGCTAGCAAGATCATTCTTTTGACGGCCTGCTGTGTCTAGAGCAGCCTCGCATTGCAGAGCCTGCTCGTTATGCAAGCCTTGATGCAATTAACTCCGAGGTAGAGGTTTAGGGAATTATGTTACATATGTTCCGACAACGACTTCACAGTCGTAGAAACCGTTCATTCCACAAAACGTGTCAGGTTCAAGAGGGTTAAAGCTTCAGGTCGAATCGAAGACTTCATATCAGCAGGATGTGGGTTTCGCGTCGAGAGCTGAAGCAGGTTAGGATTCATGGTACCGATTGTAGGCTGTGGGACGCTGACATGCCACACCGGAAATCTGTTCAACATCTTCGACAGTACCTTCCATGGGGAGTTGCTTCTGCAATGCCACCTATGCGTGGCCATGGTGACACAGGGCGGTAGAGAAAGAGAGAGAGACAGACACACGCGCACACACACACACTTGCATAATCCGGTCAATGCCGGTTGGCACTTCTTCTTTTGTTGCTTCTTATGTCTTTTTTATCTACTTGTCTTTTCTCATCCTTTAGTAAAGATAAGATACATTTATGAGCTAATGGAGCCTCTTGAGTCCTTGTAAATTGCCAGCAGAAGATTGTAGCTACAAGATAAATACATGATGAATTGAAACTGGAATCTCAAGGCTTAACATCTAGAGGAGTTACAATCACCGCGAGTGGAAAGTGAAACTTGCAGCAGGTACAGAGCTATGCGTCCATAGCTCCTTCCACCTATTCCGCTAGCTTCGTTGGCTGGCATCACGGAATAGGCTGCCAGCCCCCTGCTTGATGAAATGAACCACTACATCAATTATCAGAATTCACAGAATACTCAATGCAGGCTAGAAACTACAGACACAATCCTTAGGAACAGGAGTTTCACACACACGCAACCGGTTGAAACCGGTTGTCAACAAAGGACTTAGACAAGATACACCTATAGTAACTCGGACTTTCATTCGTCTGCCAAAATGTCATGTGGTTGCGGTGAAACAGGCTTAATCGATGGTGAAAGCGCCTTGACTTGAAGCAAGTTGGGTGGGCGGTAAAGAGTCAAAGTGATTACGAAAATCACTCACAATGTGGTCAAGGGCAGTACGAAGGTGCTTTACATGGCCATAAAGCTCAGCAACCGATTCCATAACCTCACTCATTTGCTGGGACAATTCTCGAACTTGACATTGAAGAGCATCCAGCTGCGATTGTTGAATCTTTTGAATAGACTTGTCCGTCTCCCGTTGTTGAAGTGTATCGGCTCGAAGAGATTGTAACTCGCATTGGGTGTATCGAATCCATCGATCTAAAGCCAACAAAGGTTCCATGGCGGAATTAAGATTGCCGCTCATAACTCAGAAACGAAAGGTCGATGGACTGTAGCTGCAACCAAAGCGGCTCAGAAAAGTCAACAAAATTCTTTTAATACTGAAGTTGCATCCTTCGGAACATTCGATCAAGAGTCACCAGCTGCCAATCTTTACGTTCATCAGGCCAAACATATTTGCGAATGCTGCTGGCCCGGGATTTATACAAGGATGATGCAGCATGGGTGGCCTGAATAGAAGACGGTAATCGAAATCGCCAATGATCCGAAGTCATAATCATCTCCACCGCGTACGTGGGCCGTAACTGAACATCAAAGCCCAAAAACTCACATTGAACTCCAGGTGTATTTACTGCCTCCAGTTGGACTGGAGGAATGTAAAAGTCATCATGTAGAAACTCCTGAAAAGCTGGAAATGACAACAGCTCCTGATCAAGGAGAACAATTCTGTTGTCAACATACCGAAGGCAAAGGAATCGAGGACGATGAAGCTGTAAAAACTGAGAATACCGATTAAACCAAGCTTGCTCCAGAAAAGCAACACTAATGCTTGCCAATACCGGTGATATTTGGTTACCAATAGCTGCTCCTCTTTGTTGTGCAAACACTCTTCCCAATGCAGTAAAGTAACTGGTATCGCAGGACATGCGAACAATTGCCAAGATGTCCCGAAAATAAACTTGATACATTCGTCGTCCTGCAGCTCTAGCCTTACCTGTCCAAACCCTAAGCTTGCTGTCCTTCTCCGACAGGTTGACACTAAAAGAATATGTAGCAGGATCCAGATTGTGCTTCAACATAAATTGTTGTAGCATCCAATCAACAGCTTCCATAATTCGGCTAACCGGAATGCTGGTGAAGAATCCTACCAAGTCTTGATTGTAACAAGCTAAGAAGCAATGGTCAGACACGCTGCTAAATTGCCGAATCTGTTGCATCATAGCAGGAAAGGTTTGCAACCCAAAACTATCAGGCATTGTCTCTTTAGCAATGATGTCGAGGACAATAGCTGTTGCTCGAAACAATTTGGCAAAGATGAAGAACTTGTAGCTGATGATGGGTCTTGCAACCAAAAAGTGCTTCTTCTGCTTAAGTAAAATGTAAGCGATGGGAAGCGAAGACGATGTTGTTGTACGGCCCCAGGGATACCTCTTCAACCAGCTTTGCTGTGATTGTTGCAACAGAAACTGCTCTGTCTGCATTGGTGACATTGAAACAGTCCTATATACTTGCAAATCTCCAAAGGTAGCTTTAACCACCTGCCAATACAAAAGAGGGCAAAACATGAACATCGCATTAATTGCATGATCTCGGCCATGAACCGCATATCCGCGCAAAAGCTGACGAAGAAACATGATGTCCTTCTTCTTTATGGTAATCCAAGCAGCTTGTACATGATTGGGCCACTGACGGGTAACAAAGCGGTTCCAAGTCTGTGGATCATAGAAATTAATACCATTCTGATGCATCCAATGTTGCACCTTGATTGATGTACATGCAATGTAGTCTTGTAGTGATGGTGCCACGGGAGTTTCTGCAGAAAAACTCAAGATATGACGGAGGCGCTTGGAAATGTTGAGCGCCTTCAAAGGTGAGGCAATATGATCCCGTGTAAGCTGTAGCTCGGGATGTTGCAAAAGGAACTTCGCACATGAACACGATGGAGGTGTAGACCATGACCACGATTGTTGTACTCGCAAATGGTTGTATAAAAGATCTTTCATCGACTGTTGTTTGCCAGCAACCACTTGTATAGAAGGTAAATGAAAGGGTACTAGAAACTCCTTGCTTGACTGAATGTGATATCGCAAAAAGGCCCGAACAGACTGCTTAAAGCTGGAGTGCGCCAGAAATGGGATAACCAAAGGCTTGCGTAGCTTTGGAACAGCCAGTTGTCTAAACTTGAGAACCTGCACTAAAGACGACTTAACTCTGGTGCGAGGTGGATCATCAAGATGATTAGAAAGGCGATGTAAAGCAAAGACATGCATGGGTGAAAATTCTGATGATCGAAGTCGTCGTGAAGCCTCAAAAGCTAACCTACCTCCAGCAGCTAGCATCATAAGGATGTCCCATCCTTGCAAAGGTGAGGTAGAATCTGTATAATACTGAAGAATACCCAAAGTTTGCATCCGACGGCGAACCTTTTTCCAAAGTCTAGAGGATTTGGTTGTGTAACCAAGGGCCTGAATAATAAGCTTGGTGGTTCGAAATGTGGAAGTAGGGTGAAGTCGATTAATCCAAGGATGATTGTACATAGGTCGCCAGTTCTGAATAATCTCCAATTCTTTTGATCGAGTGTCAGTTGCATTTACCAAATTAAATAATGGTAAGATAGCAACGTCATGTAGCAGACCTCGAGAATGAAGATAATGCATACCCCTGGGCCCTTGGACGGCTCTT